TATATATATATAGGGACTGACACAAGATTCTTACCACTTCCCTATCTGGTTCAGGCTTTCTCTTAGATTGGTTTTATTGTTTGTAAAAAAGGGAAAAAAATGGCAGGACAGACAAGAGAAAGGGAAATATTGTTCCATTTAAACAGGAAGGCAAACACTCCAGTGATTGTAGCTGCTGTTATAGAAGAGACAAAGACGCGACTGAGTAAAGACTGAGCGGAAAGAAGGATAAAGATGGGAGGATGCTGATGAACAGGAAATTTGATTGTGCTGACTGTGCAAATAAGAAGTGAGAAGTAAATGAGGGAAAACATCAGTGAGAAACGAGAGTGACAGAGGAAAACAGACAGGGAATAACTCCATGATAGAAGAGAGCCATTTCTGGAAGAAATAGATTATAACCCAAACCATCAGAAGCTGACAGCATACGGCTGAATAGAGAAACAAAATGACACCAGAATAAAAGCCTTGAATTGGATGTGACAGGTAGAGTTATTAACATAAAGCATGGCCACAACTGTTATAAAACTCACAAAAATCTGTCCGTCTGCTCTTCTTTGGACCAGTTACAGTCCACATTTTGGAGGAACAGAAGCCAAAAGTMCTTTTCGTGTGTGGAAGGAGGCAGCAGACCTTTTGGTTGTTAAGTGTTCGACCATCTCGAGCATTCTTTCGAGTGATTTAAAAGTCTTTTGACAGCTAAATTGTTTGGTGCAAAGTGTCTGACTTTTTTTAAATGATCTTTCCTCAGAAGCAGAAATTGGAAAATAGGTTGGGGCAACTGAAGAGAAGGGAAAAAAAGGATCAAGGTTTTAATTTAAGGGATCTGTAATGTTCCAGTGACATTTCAAAAGGTTATTTGAAGAAAAAAAAAAACGAGAGAAATGTTGACAATTTTCAGGTGTTTCCAAAGAGCATGACTAAGGTAGATAAACTGAAGTATACAAAGTGTTGTAAAGTTATGTAAGAAAGCTATACGTATCAATGTATAACAGTCCTTTTTTATAGTTTGCTTATGTTTTGTTGATGAGAACAATAATAAAAGGCTTCTCATTAGACTCATCAAGACACAACAGTCTTTAAAACGCTTTGCCTTAAAGAGGAAGGTTCCCAAGTGGTAAAGTTGGGTTGTTTGGAAAGGTTATAAACAAATAATATCACCACTAAAGTAATTTTTGTAAAATTTCTGAACTCCTGAATAACAACCATCATCCCCCACAATCCCACTCTCCACACCTTACACATACAAACATATATTATAGATGTTAAGTTAATTTGAAATAAACACAAGRAGAACTCAACTAGTTTTGCACATTTTCCTATCCCAGGCTTGAATATTGCATTTTGAAACATTCATTACCTGACCGGGCTGTCTTGATGTTCACAGACTGGAAGCCTCCGTTGAGCGCTGAGGTGTCGATGATGTCCGAGTCAAAGTCACGGTGCGTCTTGCGATACACAAAAAGTGCCACGATGGCAGAGATGAAGAGGCACATGATCACCGCGATGARGATGCCCACATAAAGCGCCACGTCATCTGTACTCGGAGCAGCTGAAGACGACACAGAGAAATAAAGCAAAAGGGTTACATTTCTGTCAAACAAGATGGTAAAATATTCAAGAGCAGTAAAAGTAGTAATAATAATGAAATTAGCATTCCTTGAAGGGATGAATATTGCCCTCAGCTTTGTGTGTCAGTTACCGTACATGATCAGTTAGAACTCAGGGCATGTTATGAGGATGAATTTCTACTCCTGMCACATGAAATATCACCTCAATATCTATAAATTTGACAAACTATTTTTTTTTATAAGCTAAGACTGATTAGCTCCGGTGGTCATCTTAACTGAGATTAACACCAAATACCTATTTTCTCTTGTACATCCAATGATTACAATCAGTGTTTCATTTAAGTTGGTTCAATGATTCATTAGATGCTTTGATAACAGAGTTGAAACCAAATGTTATTGCTAATGTTTTAAACAAAGGTCGCCGGCAATCTAWTAGAAATTAGTGTGTGTGAGCCGAGATGACTCTCAGTTATTACCACACCAATCGTTAGTGTTTGTGAAACTGATTGAGTTCTAGCCGTAGTTGTGTTAGCTAAGATTAATGAGCTGTGGTGGCCTATTTGAGTCAAGGGCTGTGTCCAAATTCAGGGGCTGGGTCCTTCGATCCGGCCTGCCCAGTCTAGGTGGGTAGGGTCCTTGGTAGGTCGCGAAGACCGGAAAAAAGTGGCTGTGAATTTGGACTGTCTAGCCTTCTGCTTTATTCATGCCCTTTCCCTGGCAAATGTTCTATCCCCTAACAACCGTGACAACCCTAAACAGAAGCCAAAATAGATCAAAATTAGCAAAATATCAATATATTAGTATTATTAATATCATAAAACAATAAAATAGCTTAAAGGCCATATTTGAAGAACTAAAGGACCTGCACATGCACATTTATTGTTATACAAGCTCATTAGATTTCTGACAAGAATAATATTAAAAAAAACATGCCTATGCAAATGACAAAAGCATTAACAACACAACCACTTTAAACTCTTAATTTTTATACCACCAGATTTTTTTTAATGTAAAACCGTACTTCTTTCAATTGCTTCGTCCACCATTACGAGCAGAAAAGGAAATCTCCAGTCGGCCCGCAATGCATTATGGGATATGGTGGGCTGAGAAGGATCTATCAGACCTGGTCCCTGAAATCGGGGAAAGAGGAGGATGTATTTGTCGGCCGCATTGGAGGAATCTTTGAATTTGGACAGCCTCCGGCGCGGCGCWGTGACATACACAGCCGACATATTTGGCTTTCAGAGGACGCAGCCCCTGAATTTGGACACAGCCAAGTTGATCAGTTGTAGATAGAGACTGATTACTTCCTGAGAATCTCATTGAAATCTATCTAATGATTCACGAGATATTACGCTAACAATCAGACACACACAGACAGAAAAGGTTACATATATTCATGACCCTAGGTAATTTTTATGTGAATTAACATTGCTACGGTTGAGAGTAAGGTAGATATCTTCAACACGTTTTCATTCCCATCAGACCATCATCCAGAACCACAAAACAACCTCTTCAGGTTCCACTTCAGATTCAACTTTCAAATTGCCTTCCAGCTTGTTTTATATGATAATCTGTCTTGACAGAGATACAAAGAGCAAAGCAGAAACCTTTCATGAACAAGAATAGCTCCAACTTTTAAAACTTAATACAGCTGGTAATTATGTTACAAGGGTCCCTACATCGCTTTTCAATTTGGCTAAGATTTTAATGACATTTCACCAAGAACAACGGCAAAACCATCATTCASGATTTATCATTTAAAGCAGAAGAAAGGACTGAAATTTGAACGTTTGCCTAACGTGGACTGTAAAAAGCATAAGGCACACTTAAAGGGASGAGAAGAAGTGTGAAAAGGATTAAAGAAGTCCAGCAAAGAGGGCTGAGGATAAAAATGTGAAATAGGAGGAAAAACTGGTTCATTGAGAGGAATCTCAAAAAGACACATCAGAAAAGGAGTGAAAAAGAAAAAAAAAAGATAATCAGTGAAGTTGACTGATAGGTTAGTGGAAAAGATAAGGGGAGAGCAGAGAGTGAAATATAAAAGAGGTGATTGAAAAGCATAGCTTTCAATGAATCTTGAGCAAAAGAAAAGCAAAAAGTYAGGCGAAGAAGACATAAAAAGAGTCAAAAGGGGAGAAAATCTTACATTTATAACAAAAGTGCATGTGAAAGTTTTTGGAGTCTTACATATAAAGCACTGCTTAGATAATCATGTCCTCTGCAGCTAGTAGGAAGGGATTTATCTGTCGCTTTTAAGAAAGGCAGGGAAAAAGTAGAGGGATCCTCCTTTTTAATCCACCCTTAAAGTTGAGGAGCTGATAAAAAGCTTTTAGCAACAAACAGCCGAGTCATTTGCAGGAAGGATTTGTTGTTGTCGCAGCAGAACAAGTTCAGTAAGCATGAACTTAAATATGCATGAGCAAATCCTTTGATAAGGCGCAGAAATATGCATAAACATGATGTGCAGAAATACAGAAGAGGTCAATTGACATGTTAGCTACTCGTTTACCACTTGAGGGAGCTGTGAACCACTTCTCCTGTCTCCGGGGGAAATAACGAGGGTCCTGCTTTGCCTTCATATCAGCTGCTTCAGAGGGACGGGGGTTCATCAGGTTTGACATGGTGATGAGCTTAAATCTCTTCTGACGCTTTGTTGAATATTTGTAAGAATCTGACATATCCAAACTGTTGCATTACTGCACAACCCATGCAAAACAATGGTAAATGACAAATCAAAACTCAATGTTTCACACGAATTTATTGTGAAAATGAATGAACGAACGAACGAATGAATGAATAAATAAATAAATAAATAAATAAAGCACAAATTTGCTTCAAAA